TACATAGTCAACCACATAAAAATTATTACATGCACACATTCACAGCCCAAATTGAATTGAATAAAACAACACTAGGCTTTAAGCTTTATTAAGCTGGTTTTCTAGATGGTTTCATTAAACCCTTCTCATGGTAGCTAAGAAATACCAGGTAACAGATGAAAATAAAGGCGAGAAACACCACAAGCAGAGAGAGGAGCTTTATTTGGTGTCGCACAGCATGGCAACACCTCGCAGCACCCAGTGATCTGGCGATTTCGGGCTTGTCAGCCAGAGGTTGGTAATGAATGTCAGGTCGGTCCGACGCGGTTTCTTGTAGACTGGGCACTGTTAAATAAGAGAGAAACGAGTAAATACATGACAAATGCATCGGACCGTCGGAAAACTTGGAAATTGCAGGGGTAAGGCGATGGGCCCATGTTGGGCCGACCAGGGCCGACAGGGGAGTCCCACTGGCGATACTCCGCGCTCGAGAGACACTCCTCACGGGGTATAGGTAGGCGGCCTCGCCAAATACACAATTGCATCGAGATTAGCGGGCTAGTGCGAGCCAATTGGCACCAGAGCGCCCTCCGCTGGCTTTATGGCCAGCAATCAGTGCACGACAAGCGAATTAGAGATGAACCGTATTGCGAGGGAGTCACGTGCACTACAAACCACAACGCTCGGTTACTACATCGCCATTCTCTAATAAGCACCCAACGCAGTGAGAAATGAATTTTGATGCGATGTCAAATTAATATCGGATCGATATCAGTTACCAGCAATGTTTGATTGCAGACCATGATTTTATCGTGCTAATAGGTAAAACTGACAAAGTTCTCACATAGTTTTGACATATTATTCCTCAGCAATATCGCTTCAAAAAGAACAGCAACTACACAACGCGACTTGCACTACAAGACTGGCTACATTGTCTTCCTGATATCTTTCCTTATCTTCAGATTACACTCAAATCCGATGATCCGTTGTGCAGTAAACACAAGGTGACCTCCACAAAGTTATGGTCGAGAACAACGGTGCAAACAAACCCAACAGAGAACGTTAACACCGCTAAACTGGAGATTATTGTAAAACACAGGGACAAAAACTGCGACAAACATACAACGTTCGCACGACGAGTTATCCGGATCCACACCGGCCGGGGAAGTCCCCCGCATCGGAGCCGTAAGATCCTGCTTACTTTTCAAATGCCGAGCGGTTAGCCGAAGGGCTGCAGCTAGTTGCCTACAATGTTATGTTAGTCGGGTCGCTGCGGCGGCTGGTCTGCAAACCGAACTTGGACTGAGCGGAGGAGCGACATATGGGGCGGGGCGAGCCGGCGGGCAGCAAAAGGTGTCAAGTCTGACACCGTCCGGCCATCCGGTCATAAGAGAGATGGGGTGGGGCGGGGGCGGCACGGCGGCACCTCAGGAGGTACGCCCCATGAACGCCAGAGCGGATGCCGCCTTCAGAGGAGGGGCCGAAATGCGGAGACGGCCCAACCCGACTCCGCAGCAGCCGAGCCCAGCCAGCTACGGACATCGCCAACTCGAAACTCAATCAGCGTTGCGTCTGTTGTACTAGGCTCCCGGAGCAGACAGGCGACACCGGCGCGCCGTGCGGGCTGCATAGCGATGGGGGGCGGCGCGCCGCGGCTGTGCGGTGCGGGGGACGGGACGGCAGGCGCGTCCTTGGGCCCGTCCGGACTGTTCCTGTCGCTCTTGCACCCTCGGCGAGAGACAAGGACGGCAGCGCCGAGCCTCGCTCTGACGCAGCCCGCAGACTCCGGGACAATTAGATGAGTCCCGCGACTGTGGGCTGCGTTCGCTTGAAGCACGTCACTTTAATCATCGCCAAGTCAAGCTGAGTTGGGAGCGAACTCGGGGTCGGGCTCTCACCATGTACAGCTTGGGGTCGCGGGGCGCGGAGAGCACGCCGGCGGATATGACGACGACGGGCATGGCCGAGTAGATGACCTTGGCGTGGGACTCCTTGAGGATGCCGCTGCGGCGGTCCCACTGCGCGCCCTCCAGGAACAGGCCGTACACCGCCACGCCCTCCTCCTTCTGGAGGGCCGACAGGGTCGCCGTCAGAACACGGCGTTGTGGTCTTTGCCGTGGCCGCGAGAGGCTCGGCGAGAGGTGAGGAGAGGACTTACCCCGGTGGGCTTCCACTCCTCCTTGCCGCTCTTGCTGACTGTGTTGGTGATGACGACTTGATCGAGCGCCCAGCCCTTGTGGCTGCGGGTTATGTCCTGTCTCATTGCGGTCAGGAAACCTAAAAAAGAGGTATATTTTCAAAAAATGTCACCAGTTTCTTTGGTAGTTTTAGCATGTGCCAGGTTTTTCAGAGCGGACACCTAAGTGTTGCGGGATCCGCGGGTTCGCCTTCTCCCTTCGCGCTTAAGGCGCCAAACCCTCTGCGGCTCTAGCGAGTGTGCATGCAATCGCGCAACACTGCAGTATCCGCTCTGAATCATCCGGTTGCTGCTGCGCTGCGCATCAGCTTCTCAGGACTTGCCAGTGGGGTTGAAGAAGCCCGTCATCCAGAACATGAGCGGCCGGCCGTCGTACAGCCAGGTGGAGAACTGTTGGTTGCGCTCGATCAGCTCCGCGTACCAGAAGCCCAGGGTCGAGGACTCCCACGAGCCGCGCTTCCACGCCGAGGGCACGCGCGCGTCGAAGATGTTGTCGAGTGCGTCGCGCAGGGACTGGAAACAGGGGGGAGGGAGAGGGGTATGGGGGTACGTTATGGGGCACCCCTC